TTCACAATGTTTTAGTTGTATGCTCTGGCCTTGAGTTGATATTTGACTATTCTGTGTTCAGTTTGAAATTCAATCTGTATGTAGGTGTTTCTGAAGATTGGTTCAATGACATTTGTGTGTAAAAAAAAAAAAAAAAAAAAAATGAAAATATATTTTATCCAAATGGTCTTCTGTGGCTTTTATTCCCGCTTGAGTCCAGCTAATTCTTTTGTTGGTTTTAGTCAGGACAACAAATGTAACTAGTCTGACCAATATGGAGCACATTGGATAAGTTAATGTCTATTTGTAGCAGTGGGCAAGAAAGAAAAATTCATCCTTAAATTGCATGATGGTGCCATTTATAAGAAAGTTGTCCACTGGAGACTTAGAGCATAAATTCAAACTGATCTTGAAAATAATGGCTGGCTTGATGATGAAATTGTTGAAGTTATGTAATTGTCACATCAGAACATTAACTTCAGAAACACCATCATACAGATTGACTATTCTGGGTTTGGTTTGAAATTCAAGTAAATATCACATAAAGAAGGCCGGAGTCTACTAGAGCTGAGACATCATGAATGTGGCAATAAAGATGTGGACAACAATGTAAATAGTGTAAATAAATTATGAATCTCATCTGAAAATTCTGAGACAAATTAGGAATTAAGTATGCAACATTTTTTTAAAAAATTAATGGATATTATAGGTGTTTTTTTTGTTTTTTTTTTTAATTAAGGAATATATAAAGTATTGTCATACTTTGTAATGAGTGCTTACTCATTTGGAAATTTAAAATCTTGGAAAAAAAAATTTTTTCAACAACTTCATGAAAGATATTTCCTATAAAAACTATTTCTTTTACTTTTCTATTCCCTCCTTAATTTTATTAGTTTAACACATTTTACTCTAGAAAAGGTAAAGTTGTTTGTGGCTAAATAAGGTGTAACATATTTCAACACTGTTGAAATTTAACCTTGTCATTTACTATCATTAGATAGCATAATTTTTTTTCAACAGAAAAAATACTACAAAGAGACTAGCAATCTGAAAGTTTAAATTTTTGAAACTCAATGAGGAAAGAAGGTTTGTAGATTTTAATACTCACAGAACACTTTTTTTAATATACTAAAGTTCATTTAACACAAGGCTTGAGAACCACTCAAGGTAGTTATTGAATGAGATGTATGTTATGAATGTAAGAGTAGGTGGTAAGGAGTGAAAATTATGAGGATAGTGATTGACCCTTGATTTAAAGAGGTTTAAAGTGTAGTGTACAGGGAAGCATCTATGTGCTAGTATATTCCACAGAGTAGCCTTTTTTGAGAAAAAGATGTCTGAGTGGAACTTTTTCCTTAGAACACCAGAAATGAGAATGACTTGACTTTGGACATAGCAAGTTGTGGCCTCACTGTAAAGGTCTGAACTAGTGGCACTGAAGAATGGGCTTGTCTGAACATTTGCCATGTAATTGTAATAGAGTTGCAATAAGCTTGTGATGTGTCTATGGGAAAGAGGCTGCAGGGTGGAGAATACGTCATCCCTCCCATAAAACTGTAAACCTAATCTGACACTTGTAAAGATAAAGCATGGCAAAAGAAGCCAAGTGAGAGAATGAGCTGACCATTTTTCTAGAATCTTTAGCAATTGATTGTATATATGTTTTCACTTGGGGTCTGAAATAAATTTGAGACCCAATAGATGTTCAAATGATAGAGCCTTGTTGAGCATGCAATCATTTATCATAATTGAAGAAAACTCGGCTTGAAACTATACTAACTTGATTTTTGAAGCATTTAATATTACAAGCTAGTTTTTTTCTCCTATTGAGCTGTTATAGCTAGGTTAGAGGAAAGATAAGCTGCAAAGCTCCAATCATCTTGATTTTTAGAAAGATTGATGTCTTATGGCTTATCAACCCTTTGCAGGTTATTTAAAACCTAAACATATTTTGGATTGTAAGAATATTTTTTTTTCAACATTAACAATTTTTTGAGAATATCAATGATTTTTCCAAATGCAAGCCCTACTATTTAACCCAAAGCTTGTGGGTATTTGTGTGTAAGTGAAGGTAATGATCCATTTCAGAAGTGTGCCCATAAACTGTGATATCATCTGCATAGTTATTTACTAACAATCTGTAGATGTTCCTAGGCAGATCATTAATAAAAAAAATGCAGAAAGTGGGTAAGGCCAAGGAAAGAGCCATGTGAAATGGCTACATTGATCTTATGGAATTCAGAAGATTAGCCATTCACATTAACCTTCACGAACCTACCTGAGAGAAAGGACTTAATGTTTGTGTAAACTCATCCAGAAATGCCATAACTAGAGAGTTTGTGTAACAATCTCCAATCTCAAAACTTGTCAAAAGCCTAATGCAACCACTCTAGTAATGAAGCTACCATCAAGCGATTCACTGATTCTGTGGTTGATTACAGTTGTGAGAAATTTGTCCTGGCTTTCCCACATGGAAGGGTTGAGGTTAAAAAAATGCAACAAAATTGAAAAAAAAAGCAACTACGGCTTGAAAGATGAGAGTGGACAATTTTCTATTTTTAGGCAGCTCTTTCAGGTGGAAGAATAAAGACTCAAACTCCTGCTTGGTGTGTAACAATAAAAGAAGAAAATGTTTATTTACATGCACAAAAAAAGGTATGAAGATATACACAATTACAAGAGAAAGTAAGGAAGAAGAAAATTCCTTTAACTTTAAAGGAACAAAAAAATGTTCATAAAAAACCTTGCTCAAAATATTTCTCTGAGTGTCTAAAAAGTTCTTTAAGTGAGTAGCAGATTGTTGTAAAGGTTAAACACTCACAAATTTGTTCACAGTTCCTGTATAGGAGGAAACTGTCAGATGATATGAATATCATAGTTGGGTGAGTTTGTAGGCCAGCGACAGATATCTTCTAGATGTAAGGAGACAGATTTCAATTGGTTTTAGTAGTGGGCCGACATTCTTTCCCGACAGGCCATAGTAGGTAGTTCTTTTTTGAAGATGACTGTTTTTCTGTCGCCAACCTCACAGATGGTTGTCGATTACTCACTGCCAAACAGGCATAAATTATCTGTATTTATGAGGATTAGGAGGCTTAGAAAATATTAGGGACTTTTCTCTCCAAAATTGCTATACAAATTTCCTGGCCATTTCATTTGTTAGAAAATATATTTTTATCTCCGACAAGAATGAGGCTTTGGGAGCCAGCAAAGGTCCAACAAGCTGTGAGCACCTCCCCCAGACTTCATGGAACCATGGACAGGATAATGATGTTCAAACTCATTTTTATATTTTCCAGCTCTCTCAGTCATCAGAAAAGTATTGGAATTTAATTTGAGAACGACGAATACAATATTTTACAAGTTGACATTCTAGCCTATTTTTCCAATACTCACGCCAACTTTTTTCCTTACTTTTAAAACCGACTCCCAAAGCCTTGATTCTTATCAGAGATAAGAATATATTTTCTGACTAACAAGAGAGCTGGAAAATATAAAAAGGAATTCCATCACCATTATTCTTTCCATGATGCCATAAAGTCTGGGGGAAAACTTACAGCTTGTTCAAACCAACCTTTTTCCTTACTTTAAAAAACTGGCTCCTAAAGCCTTGATACTTATCAGAGATAAGAATATATTTTCTGACCAATAAAGGGGCCAGGTAATTTGTATAACAATTTTAGAGGGAAAAGTTCCTGATTCTTCTGAGCCTCCCAAATCTCCATAAATTTAGAGAATCTTTGCCTATTTGGCATTATGAATTCGACCACCGTCTGTGAGGTTGGTGATAGAGATCACCAGTCAACTTTGGAACCAGTTTCAATAAAGAACTACCTACTAAAAGGCTGTCAAGAATGAACGTTGGCCCACTATTAAAGACCAGTTGAAAGCTGTCTCCTTTCACCTACAAGACTTCCGTTGTCGACCTATGATCTCAATCAACTGCAAGATTCCTATCTACCGACATTTTCCTACTCTGCAAGAATTTTGAAGAAAACTGTGAGTGTTTCTAACCCTTAACAAAATTCTACTCGCTTAAAGAACTTTTAGGCACTCAAAGAAATAATTTGAGCAAGCCTTTTTTCTGTGATGAACATTTTCTCTTCCTTTAAAGTTAAATGACCTTTTCTTCTTCCTTTCTTTCTCTCCTGTGTTATTCCTTTTTTTTGTAAATGTAAATAAACACTTTCTTCTTTTATTGTTACACACCAAGCAGGAGTTTTGAGTCTTTCTTTATTTGTCTGCCTAAAAGAGAGAGAGTTTATCCGCTCTCATCTTGCTGTTTTTATTCAATATTTGTCACAACTTTTTAACCTCAACCCTTTCATGTGGGAAAGCTGGGACAAATTTCCTGCACAGAAAATATATCCCTATCTCTGATAAGGAACAAGGCTTTGGGAGCCGGATTTTGAAAGCAAGGGAAAAAGTTTGGATGAGGATTAGAAAAGAGACTAGAATGTAAACCTGTAATATATTGTTGTCATTCTCAAATTAAATTCTAATACAGTTAAAACATCAGCGGTAGATACAGAGAAGAAGCAAAACTGTTTTTTGCTCAGGAGGTTGTTTCTGGTGAGGTAATTGACTACCTCCTTGTTGCTAACATACTCTGCAGAAAGGAAACTATGGAGAACCATTATCACCTACATCCTGAAGGAAAGTGGTGCATAAAAAAAAAAATAAAAGTAAGTATTTATTTTAATAATTTTACTATTTAGTTATCAAACTTAGCAAAACCCATTCTCCAACAAAAAAAACAACTTATTTTTATGTTCGTTTTTGCAAGTATAATATAAAACCTTAAATAGAATGTTTCTTAATATTAAGGAAAATTAATAATTTCAGGCTAAAATAGAAGCAAAAAAGTAAGGTGTAACTCTTTATTTTAGAGGATTTTCGCGCCCAGACAGGACATCACGTTTATAGTCTCGCGCGATCTCGCGCTTGAGTATGGCGGCTGCTATTTATGCAGATTTTCTTTTGGACTTGTAGGTTACTTGCTTTAACTTTTTTTTTATCAGTACAGGTGGATTGCGGTCTTTCGAAGGTGAAATTGCTTTCTATTTACTCTAATCAGAATTATTTGTCACCAATTTTTTTTGTTGTTTTCTCTGATGTACTATGCAAATACGCCCAAAGTAGTAGACTAGGAAGAAAAAAGAAGAGTGAATAAAAAGAATTAGAAAATGAATGGAATAATAATTTGATTTGATATAGGACTTTTAATTACGAAACGGATTTTTTAAAATTTGTGCTTTAACCAAAATGGCAATTATCAAGTAATTCTAGGTTCAGCATTTTAAAGGTTTGTACGTAAACTTGAATTTGCTGGGAAGCAGTAACACACTTTTAGTTTTCTTCTTTAGTCGCTTCTTTTAATTTTATTTTTATTATCAAGAAAGTTTTACAATTTTTATGTCTTAGCTTAATCATTGTACCTTCTTATTTTTGATAAGTTTCTTAATTTTTATTGGAAAGAAAATGAATAATTAACGGAAAATATAGTGTGTTATGATTAAAAATACAAAATGTTTTTAACTCAGGTGTACCGTGCCTGTGGTTCTTCCTTTTTTACATAGATGAAACTTTACGAAAAGATTTTAAAACTAGATACTGGCACCAAACATTTTCTTTAAAATAAATAATGAAGGGCAATTAAACTATTTTTAATTTTGTTTTGTCATGACTTAAAATAAAACAAACAAACGAACTGTAATTCCATTATGGCTTCTGCTTTAACTTTTTAAACAAAGTTCTTGTTTCTTTTCCTTTCTTCTATCTCACTTCTTATTCCCTGAAGTTTTAACATTTTCTATCCAATACTTCTTTGCGAGTGTTGATCGTCTTTGCTTTAAATTTTAGTTACTTTTAATTTTAATTTATGTAATATTTGGATAACATTATTTTTCAATATACATTTTTGATTGTTTTGTTTCAGTTTCATTTTATTTTCACATAATGGTGACTATTTGGATTTAGAAGAAAAGAAAAGAAGAGTAACTATGAACTCATGTTGTATATACTAACAGTATTTCTCCCAGTGTAACGTTTAATTTGTCCCTCCCTCTTATTTACTTTGTTGATTTGCGAACCATGACATTTAAATGAATTTGACATTCACATTTACCTTAAACCTGATCATGACCTTTTTTTCATTTGTAAATCGTATCTAAATTTTAGATGATGATGAAAAACAAAAACGATAAATTCGCCGTATGCCATGTGAGCTCTCTTTGCCTTTTTCTATTTATTTTATATTTCAGTGAATTATTTCATTTGTTTGTTTATGTTTTTTGATCAGGTGATTATTTTTAATGACTATCCTAACTTAAGATACTTACTTAAGGGATTATTTTATTTACTGCTCTCTTGCCCAATGTTCAGTTTAATTGAAATTTGAAAATCCATTTTTTTGTCAGCAATAATTTTCTTATGTGTGTATGTCATTTTTTTTTTTTTTTTTATTTTACCCTGAACAATAAACAATAATCAGTTAATAACATTTATTTTTGGAAAACTGCAAAATCCATTTTTCTAAAAATGGATAATGAATGTGCTACTACTAAAAACTGCCATATGTTATATTTTCGTTACTTTACAGGGGTAGCTGAATTAGTTTCTCTTGCTATTTCGTTAAGACTAAGAGATAAAAAATTTAAAAAGGCAACTTAAAAAAAAATAATAATGAATTATGGCAGGCAGTGATGTTTGAATTAATTTGTAATACATTTAATTTCGACATGAAATTATTTTTGATTTTGTATTTTAGCTTGTTGCCGTAAAGTAAAAATATTTTAAATTCATTAATTTTTCATAATTGCAAAGATGAATTGTACATTTTTCTACTAATGTTTTTTGAATGAATATTTGGCAAATTTGTATTTTTAATTTGTCCTTGAGATTTCTTAGTAGAAATTTGGTATTTCTTATCTGTTATTTATGATGGCGTAATTTAATTTATATTGAATAATTAACTTTATACATTTCTCCTTTTATTTTAAGATATGGGCAATAACAACAGCCCAAGGCAACAGGACTGGGGTCCATGATTAGGGGCAGAGATCTAAATTACTACTAAATAGCAATTACAGAGAACATTTTTAGGAATATTTTTGTAATATCAAGTAATTAGTTAATTAGCAACTATATATATTATTAGGAAGTAACTTACAACTTCTAACAATTATTGTCTTATTTCCATAATGTACAAAGAACAAGTGACAAATACTAACTTCCTCTACCAACTAAAAATCACCCCCCCCCAAAAAAAAACACTATTCACTACAAATTAGGAACATTGTAAAAATAATGAACCAGTTTATACAAATTCATTAAAAGAATAGAAAATATAATTATATAATAAATTCAGAAAGCAAGTTCAACATTTTGCAAAAATAAAATCAACTAAGTATGAAAATAATTATAAAAGCAATAAATCTCAGACAAGCAATAATTTTGATAATTTAAAAATATTTTTATTGTGATTTTTGTCACATCTGCAAGTGCCTGCCTTTGTTTTACAGAAAATGAAGAAAATATTTATTTCACTGTGATATAATAATGGATTTTACCTTATGCATAGTTTAAATAGTAATTAAAATCAATTTGCATTAACAGTAACATAAAGTTAACAGGATAATTTTGATAAGTTAACCAATTAAGTAAGAAGGTGGAAAAGTAAAAATAAAAATTATCTGGTAGATGTTTCTCTAAATGAATGTCATTTTTAAATATAGCTTTATGAACATAGATTTACTGTTTAAAAAAAATATAAATTTTTAATATTAAGTCTTAATGAGAATTGAATAAACATCTTGTAAATAAAATTTGAAGATAATTTCAAAGTTTTTTGTGCTGGCTCTTGAGTTGCCTTAGGAGAATCAAAGAAGCATTAATTTTTTAGAAATCTATTTGATAATATAATCCAATACTTTTGTTTCATACAGAAATGATGCATTTCAGAAAGTAATATCAAGATTTTTGTCAAAAAATTTGTGCAAGTTTTCAATTTAGTGACACCAATTATTATAAATCAGAGAAGCACCTATTTTACTGTGGCATCCAGTGGAATTTTTAAATTACCATAATTTATTTCTTTCAAAAAATATCCATATTCTTGAAAATAAATATTTCTTCTTTATGACAATCTTTTCTTGTAACATAGCTTACTATAGAGAGATGATACATTGATACTTATAAAAAGAGGTTAGAAAGAACAAAAATTATTTATAAATAAATTTTATAATCAATATGTTCATTGTTATAGAGAAAATATTAACAAAATTATATGAAAAAATTATGTATTGGTTTCTTTGTTTACATTTTTGCAATATATTTTAAAGAACAGTTGTAAAATATTAAATTTACTGAATTTAATTATGACATTAACTTTCTGTGATAAAATTCTAAATAAATGGCATTTGTCATTAATTTAGTAGTGCAAAAAGTTACATTTTGTTTTGTATTTACAAAGGGTAGTAAAATTAAAATTCAACATACATTTTTAAAATACCTGTTAGAGAAAAACAAAACAAATTACTCATAAAAATTTTATAACCAATATGTTCATTGTTATCAAGATCATATAGAAAAAGAATTTTATGATAAAAACAGATAAAACAATTGGTTTATGCAGAGAGCTTCATCTACATGTCATGGGGGCCTGCAAAACCATTCAACACTGTGTGGGAGTATTTGAAAGTGTCCACTAGTCAATGATCCAATGGGTGCATGCATGTATAGAAGCAAGCGGAGAACATTTTGAACATTTGTTATGAGTTGCTGTGTTGAGGTACAACCATGACATTTTGGACAGATGTTTATATGGACATTTTACCTTGTTTTGGTGTCAGGAATCCATCCCCAAAACCTGTAAAAGCATTTTTGATACACCCTGTATATTTCTTCAAAGTGGAAATGACTGCAAAGATGTTTTCAGTTAATTTCTTTTCACTATATTTTTATGATGTAAAGGATTTAAAGTTGACAAGTTTTAATTACTACAAAGTTAATAATGATACTTGTAACTTTTGCACATTTAATATACAGAAATATTCTGATATATGAATCTGATCTGACACCATTTTGAAATATTCATTTCTTTTTATTCTGTTAAGATTAAATGCTGCAATATACATACATAAAGTTTATGCATATACCTATCATTGCATGTGATAATGTGACTTATTAATGTTCATGTTATTCACAACTTACAAATAATTTGTAATAGTTATAAGAATATTTATATATTCAACTATACTTTATAGTAATTTTTCCAGTTTTCTAGATATTTTTCTTTTTGCTCTGAACATAAATATATTATCCTCATCACTATTTTAATATTTTTTTGTTGATTGATTGATTCATTGATCTGTTTTTACATTTTATCAACCTTTTGTGATTTATTTAAATAAAACAGATACAAAAAACCCCAAAGGACTGAGATTGGGAAAATGTGCAGGCCATGGAACTGGTCCTTCCCTACCTAGCTATCTTTTATAGATGTCAGCCAGTGCATTGTGAACAATGTGACTAAAATGTGCTGGAGCCCCATCATGCATGAACCACATGCATCTTCGTATTAGCAGGGGTACATCCTCTAGTAGGTCTGGAAGTATGTTCGAAATAAAGTCCTTGTAGACAGCTCCTGTAAGATTTGCTGGGAGAACATATAGACCTACCAGACAGTCATCTACAATTCCAGCCCACATATTAACTGTAAACTGATGCTTGTGTCTAGTCTGTATTGTACCATGGGGATTCCAATCTCCCCACAAATATTGGTTGTGTAAATTTGTTCCCCTTTCTTCCAAATGTTGCCTCATCTGTAAAAAAGACTGAAGAGACACAATGGATCGACAGTTTGTGCAATAAATCATCAGCAAAAGTTCTCCTGTGGTGAATGATCAGACGGTGAAAGACCCTGCACATGTAAATGATGCGGATACAGGAGCTACTTTTGAAGTGCCCTCCATGCGGTACTATGAAATATACGACATGCTAGGGCCACGATGTGTGCTGATGCCTGGATCATCTCCAACAGCCTGT